CATCTTACAGGGTAAATAAGTACTCATGAAAATAATCGAAAATCATAGTTACATATACGTAAATAGGTAGCGTTAGAAATTAGACAATAATTTTATTTCACTTTACTGATTTTGTCGGAACCAGTAAACGTCTTTTTCAAAACCACTTCGGTAATAGTTCAGTAACATTTCGTGACTAGTTGCAAACTACCCCAAAATGATCCCAAACTAAATCGTACTGAAGTGGTTGTGAACTTTCCCAGAAATTATCTCGAAAAAGTCTTGAAACGCCCCTGAAATGATCTCTTACTATTCCCAAATAACCACGAATAAGTCCGGTACAAGTACTCCTGAATTAGCCCCAAAGTGAAATGTTCCTTAAATAGTTCCTTAAATAGTGCTGAACTAATCCCGAAATCACGGTGAACTATCCGGAAGTGGTGCTGAAATAGTTCTGAACCTGTTCTAAATGGTCCTGAACTAGTCCCAAAATTAACCCGAAACAGTCCTGAGCTAGTGTCAAATGGTCCAGAACTAATTCCAAAATAGTACCGTAATAGTCCCGAAACGGTCCCGAAATAATCCCGAACTAGTACGAAAATGGTCCTGAACAGGCTCCGAAACGGTCGAAGAAGTCGTGAACTTGTACCAAAATGATCTCGAACAAGTCTTGAACCATCCCAAAATGATCCCAAAATATTCCAGAAGTCCCGAAATGGTCCTGAACTAATCCCACATGATCGCGAAGTAGTGCCGAAATATTCCTGAATAAACAGGTCCCAAAATGATCCCGAACTAGTCCCCAAATGATCCCGAAGTAGTCCTGAAATGGCCCTAAACTAGTCGGTGAACTAGACCTGAAACGATCCTCAAATAGTCCTGAACTACATAGTCTAGAAATTTGTATGTGCCCACACAAGAAGCAATCACAGATTTTCTGTTGAATTTATGCATATTTGACGTTTACACCTCTCAAACAAAGAATTACACTAGTACTAGGGATTATTAATTTGAGTTTTAACCAGTTTGGTAAAATTTTCTACCACACGCCGCAGCTCCTCTAGTGAAATTAGATCCCGTTGCACGAATAAGGTAGAACACACTCGATAGTTTTTCCATCCAAAATCTTGGGGAGATTTCCAAATTCACCATTACTAACCTAAATAAATTCATCGAAAAATCCAAATGATTTGACGAACCCAACGAATCATGAAAGCAGGGTTCCAGAGGAAGCGTATCAAAATGGCACTTGAGCTTTAATTGGGTCCTGGGAATGTACTCAGTCGACTCTTCTACCAAGAAACTAACCAGATCCCATTGACGGGGCAATGATTGCATTAGCGAATCCAAAGGCCTGTTCTCGAAAATTGACCTATTGCTGTTATCCATGGGAAGCGGAGTTCTGTTGGAGTGTCCATTCCTGTTCACCAAAATGTTGTTGGGCCCAAGGAAGTACCATGTTACGCCGGTAAACTTCATTACTGATTTTAACCACTGATCCACGTACATTTTTCCAAATGCACAAATCCAGACCAAAAGCATCACAGATTTTGGCGGCGCCCGGTGGAACAGCTTCATGGATGAGCTTCAATGAACGCGCTTTTTGATTATCTGGCGGTGCCTTCGAAGGTTGACAGTTGGTTTTATTCCATACCCATGCGGCCACTTTCATGGCCAAGTCCATAGTACCGCTGTATTGCTTTGGAAACAGTCTGGCGATGGACATTGTATCCGGAGAGCTCATGACCAAAAACTCATCAAGGGTGCCTGCCAATTTTAATGATTTACAACAATAAAATACACTACAAAATAATAATTTTTAACCTGATAACCAGGCAAGTGTGAACAACCTTATTGTAGAATCTGGCCTGATGGCACCAAAACTAACGCAGAGTCAGAATCTGAAGTCTATAGTATATCGAATGTATCGGGGAGAATCTTAGAGTATCAAGCAGAGGTATTTTCAATAATCAAGGCCCAATTGTGGAAAATAGGTAGGCAAACAGAAGAACTTTGGTCTTATTAAAGTTGCTCCTTAGGACTGATGGCTTAGCTTCTCTATCTGGCGCATTATACATTTTAGGCAGATTAGAATGTGCTTCAGTCAGTGTGATGATCTGAGTTCATCGCACTGCTGGACAATGACCACAGTGTTTATGTGGTCAGTGTAGGAGAACTCCGCGCGTAAGCCGGAGAGTTGTCGATAGTCGAGTAAATGTATTACCTTCGCTATGATCTTCGCTACCCTAGGTAAACAGAGATGCCATGCCAGTTATCACAATCCCCCAAGTCACCCACTCATCTGGGAGGCAGCCACTTTTTAACGAGCGGCTGCAACAATTCCGCGGCGAGGTTCGGGTACACTTTAACTCTGTTGGTCGATCTTGTACCTCTTATAATCCGCTGCCCTTGGAGTTATGTGTTTGCAAATGGATGTGATTGATATCAACGAATTAATTTCCCTCATACAGAGCAACTTCTGTCATCTCCTTCAGTTTTCTTCAGTTTTAGCTTTCCGGATCTAATGCTGCAATTCAAAAAATATGTCATCTATTTATAAAGAAAAAATAATAATATTATTCAAGTGCACTTTGAAGAAATAGTTTTGGTATTAGAGTGGCGAAAAAAAAATTAAATAAAAAGATTAGATTTCGGATTATAGGTATTTAATATCGATACATTCGATCTTGCTAGCGTTTCAACTTGCGTGAACTTCAGCCACCACATTGATTAAGTTGCCAGTTAATTAACTCATCACCTTCTCATTTTGGTACACCATATGCTACCTTAAGTAATTATCTTTGACGAGAAAGTTCGATTTTGCTATGTCCTCCGGAGTATGCTGTGCTGCATCCATGTGTTCAACGCGTGGCCAACGTTCGCCACAACAACAAAAAATACACACGCAGCCGCAACGACACACAATTTGTCTTAACAACCCACACTACACCTACAAACAAGCAAGCAAAAAGAGAATGTGTTCTCAAAATCAAATATTAAAAAAGTGGCATAGCCTTCAAGATCATCAATAATAACAACACTAACGCCAACAACAAGCCAGCAAGCCTGGAAGCTTGAAGTTGCCACGCAGCAAACACGCGTACAAAAGGTCCTTAAACCACATATTGCTAGAAAGAACTATGTTGGTGAGTGTGTGATAAAAAATGAAAGGAAAAAATTAAATTAAATATGTTGATCGTTACTTGATCAACGATCATCACACATAATTGTAGCATTCATTTTCTGTTTTTTTTTTTTTTTTAGAATTTTCTTGTTTAACAAACTGCTGTGTTAATTTACAGCAACAATCAAGCAACTGGAGAAACCTCTAGCTTGAGCGCTTAAATCACAAAAAAAAATACAATCTATTTTAGTGTTTGCCTTGAAGTAGCAACAGAAGGAGGTATCCTTAGCTCATTTGCTGTCGAGTATAGGTGCCTTAAAAAGAGAATTTATAAAAAAACGCTCGTTTTATTGCTTCAAATGCCAACAAAACTTTGTCGAATTGCTTCCCACGATCACACAAAGGATCAGCAGCCAACAACTAGCCCAACCATAAAACTCTATCGAAAATTGATTGCTGCAACATGAGGCAAGTAAAGGCTATTAAATTACATGCATGCGTAAATATTCCTATGAACGAGCGATTAAAAAGGATAAGTGCACGTATGTATGTAGCGATCGAGTCGATCGTGGCAACAAATGTTCTTTTTCTTAAGATTATTTTCGTTAAAAAAAAATTTCTTTTTACTTTATTGCTTGCTTATGCGCCGCAGAGCTCCTTTATAAAGCACTCTTGCTTTGTAATTTTTAACAATTTTTTTTTAAATTTTTTCTAAATTTTTTTTTCTAACATCATCTCGCTCCTCCTTTCCTGCAGCAATAAATTGTGTGTGTGCGTATGCCATTGAAGCGTTTAAAATCGAAAATATTCTCCCACGATCGTTTTTCTATATAGAGTTTTTCAATTCTAAAGAGTCAGTCCCTAAGGATTCTCGAAAGAAATGCACACGTGTTCGATAAAATTCGGCAGTGCGTGCTTACTCCATGTTTATGGCTGATTTGCTATGTGTATGTGTGCACTTATTTATCTTAATTTTTTTCTAAATAAACCTGCTATTGTTGTTGTAGTTGTTGTACACTTTCATGCCATTAAGAATAAGATGCGGCAGGACACTTGGGTAGCAGCCACAATAACAGCAACGTGAAGCATACAAAAACCAAAAGTGATCATTAAATGGTCCAAGTGTTTGCTGCTAGCAAAAAAAAAAACAACAAAAAATAAAGAAAAATATATTGAAAAAATTAAAAGCAATGAAAGGAGGAAAAAAATCATGCACACAAAAAAAAGAAATACAAAACAATTGCCTGCTCCTTAAGGCAAAGCAAGGATCTGCTTGCAAAAACACGGCTTGCATTCAAAAGTGTGGGAACATGACCGTACGCGAGTTTCACACGATCCCAGAGACAGGATAAGCAGCCTCCGACATGAAATGAATTACTTTTATGCCCATTATCCTTATGGCAGCATAGCTCCTTTTCATCCTCATCCCGATCATCCGCAATCATGATCAACCGTGGTCCCCTTAGCAGTGCTAGCAGGTGCGAGCGAGCACGCCTGCGCAGTCTAACTCACTTGCGCACACACAGCAGGTTAAATCTCAAACACCAGACATCGGCCAGCGCATGCACAAACCCAACAACAATCAATAGCAGAGAGCAGCTCATCTGTGGCACTAAAAACGCACCTGCCATTTTTTATGTACGGATTTTTCAGCTCCTTTTGTGTCTGCGTGTTCCAGTGCATACAAAGATCGATCCTGCTGACGTTCCCACGATCCTGTCCGTTGGATCCGATCCGATCTGTTGGAATTTTACGCTGTCGCTCCGTATAGCAACTAAACCTTCTGGCTCCTTTGCCTGAATTGACCTGCTGTATGCGCGTTGTTGTAATCGCTGCCGTCGAGTTGGTGAGCAGCGGGATTTTTGTATAAAAAGCGAACGTACGACAGGACTCAACATCATTCAAGCGATAGCATTCGTGCAGCGAGCAACACAGCGAAGAGCCATAACCAAAAAGTCTGTGAAAATATTTTCTTCGTTTATTTTACAAAAAAAAATAAACTAACGAACTCATCACGAAATGTGTACCGAACAGTACGAGAACAACGTCAACATGACAGCCGAGCACCAGCTCCAACAGCGGCAAAAGAAGGTCAGCTATAGCATTAAACGTTTGTTGAGGCAACTCTTCAAACAGCAACAGAAATCAGAGCAGCAGAAGCAGCAACAAGAACTTATTGAAAATTTCGAAAACACCAACAAAGCTAACTCTTTGGAGTCGCTCGAATCATTGGAGAATTCCCGCAATGCCGATTTGGAGTCCGAAGCTGAGTGCATCTCTCTCGAATCGTCTGAGAATGATGCCAATGAACGTTTGGCTGCCTCCTGTGAATTGGAAGATAACGAATTTGCCGATATCAGCAGCGTGCCAGTACATTTTCTACGCACTGCCCATGGCACTTTTTTCTGGACCGCCAACAACGATTTGCCAGCCGATAACGATTTGATTGAACCATTGTACTGCAGCACTGGCAATCAGATCGCCACCACACAAATGCAAGATCGTTGGGCACAAGCTTGAGTGGGCAGCGCGCAAGAGAGAGGGTGAGAGAATGAAAGTGAAAGTGGTGTAACGATGCGCAACTAATGTCTTCCAGATCAGCCGAACTGATGTCTTCCAGGGCGCCATGAGATTTTGGGCCATGCTGAAACGCAAAGCTTTATTTGTTTGTGATATTTTGTTTGAAAAGAAAATAATATTTACAAGTATTTTTACAAGAGAATTAATTATATAATATAGAAAACAAAAAAAAATCCAAATAGTATTGGCTTCTTTTTTGTAGTTGGTGTGGGATTTGCTCGCGAATTGAGTCATTTCGGTATTGGCATAACAAATTCTTGTCTGTTCTGTCGTAAAAATTATCACTTCAGTAGTATTTGGCTTAGATTTCGCTTTTGTTTGTGTTGCTGTTTTTGTATTTAGGTTATTGCTCGTCAAACTACTGTCAATGCTAAGGGTTTCGCTATAGGTATATTTTTGAACATTTTCCTCTTCTTTTGTTAGCGCTGTAACGGTCTAAGCGATTATGGGCGATTCCAACAAATCACTCCAGTCGTTTCTCTTCTATGCCAACTGTTGCCAATTGGAAAATCTGAACGAAGTCTAGTTTTTAAAATACCTAATGTTTTCGTCGTTGATGTTGTGGAGAACTGGGCTTGAACCCAGGCCCTACGGAATGGTAGTGCGCACTGCTAACCACTAAACCACAGCGGCCGCCAATCTCTGCCATACTCTGGGATTAGTCTCAGATGAAATAAATTAAATTTGCCTTACTATAAGATTAGTCTCCGATGAAATTCTAATGCCCACGGCCTATGAACTGATTGGATGTTATTGGTGTTGCTATAAGCCTGCCAAATCCACCGTAAACAGACACACATATGTACATATGGGGAAGAGCTATACCTTCGTCGAATTTCAGTATCGTTCTAAAGGAACTTTGCCACACGGGCAATATGAACATTAAAAATCAAGAAAATTCTCTGGTCAATCGACATTCAGTTTCATAAAATTACAGTGACCATTTTGACGCGACAGACATTTTCCGTATTGCCAGTGAAAATTCGACAATTTGGTGGGTGTTTTATTTCATACAAATAATTGTCACCACAGTTTCACTTCCAAGAAAAATTTAATATTGTCGTTGGCAAAATTGTCGCCAGTCATGAAATTTATATGTAAGACAATTGAAAGGCAGTAGGTAAGATAGTTTGAAAGATTTTGTTTATTCTGGCACGTAAGTCTTACAAAAAATAAATCCCTTGCCAACTGTCTTGGTGAAAAGCTCCCTTGTCCAAGCACTGGCTACCAGTTAAGTGCTCCGAGGTTCGAATCTTCGGGCAGAATATTTTTTTAAATTTATTTGTTTTCCTTTTACAATAAATATTTTTTTTTTTGAATCTTTATTTTTTTTTTAAGCAAAATATGTATTTATTTTAAACTAATTTAATTTTTAAAATGGTGTTTTATGTAGTTTTTCTTTTTCGTATTTAAATATTTTCTTTTTTAAAATTATTTTTAAAATTTTATTGTTTTAAAAAGAAATAATTTTTTAATTTCATAAAATTTTTGAAAACTTGTTTTATTTTTAATGATTTTTTTTAATAAATATTCTTTTAGTGATTATATTTTATAGCTTCAAAAAGAAAAATATTTTTTTTTTAAATTCATTCGATTTTAAGGATAATATTTATTATGTTTTCTCTTTTTTATTTGTTTTTCTCTTTTAATTTATTTATTTTAACTTTTGTTATTTATGGCGTAATACAATTCCACTGAATTTGACCAGTAGATGGCCTTGAAGAATCAAGGATTCAGCGAGATTTTATTTTTATTGAATAGGTTTTTTTTGCTATTTGACCCTCAAATGACCTCGAACCTGACAGTATGGCGGTTAACGGACCTCAGCGAGTCGAAAACCGCATATGTATGTATGCATTTTAAGGTTTATTTAATGAATTCTTCCCTATCAAATGACCTCGAACCTGTCGTGGTGGAAGCTAACAAACTTCGGATTCGCATTTAGCGCGTCGAATAATATAGGCATATAAAGTTTTGGTTAAATATGCAGATTTTTTTTTTTTTTGTAAATCTGTGTAATCTTTTAATTTCTTTTGTTTTGTTCCAGTTCTGATACTTTACGGCATATGTTTTCCGCCGTTTTGGTACTAAAGAACGCGATTCAGTAGATTTGCCGCCATTTTGTATCTAATTGCTTATCGATGAATTGTTTTTCTTATTACTTGTTTCATAAACCCTCTAAACCGAAATTCCATTCCTTTTTTATACTCCAATAAATACTATACAATTTACGCCTTTTTTCTGGCCGGCCATAAGGTTGAGGAAGCAGAAGCCAGTCAGCGATATGAAGGCTGTTTATGGAGGATTTAAATTAATCCAATCACCATTTCTGTTTCCCTTTCAAACAGATAAACGATAAAACATACTTACACATGTGCACATGCATACATACATATGCATGTACGCGCCTGTATGAATGCTAAGGTCTTATAAGTAAAAAAAATAAAATCGAAACAGTTTTAAGTTCATTTACATGTTGACATAGAAATTTCATTTAAACAGCATTTCGATTTTCATTTTAGGTTTTTAATACATCTTCTTTAATAAATATCTTTTTCATCATTATCTATAATAGTTTGTCATCTTCTGCCCCTAATTTACGATTCATTTATACTTTGCTTATTAATTACTTGAGGTTATGGCGGCTACCACTTTTCTTACACTTCCAATTTCTTTTGTTAATTTCCGACACCATAATACCCATTTATCAATAAATTGTTGTTTGACTGCATACCCAGGTAGATTGCGCTTAGTTCTCAAAAAGATTCACAGGCTTGAAAATTATACATTTTCAAATGTTTGTGTGTACGCGTAGCTGCGTGCGTGTATATAATTTCACTTATTCCTTGTTTTGTTTTTCGGTTCTTTGTCTATCAATAACTAACCGATTTCGTTTGGTTGTCTGTAATTTTCGCCAGCTCGTTCCAATTAGTCTAATTGATGGGTTATTATAATACAAAATGACTGATCGCCGCTAGGTGTCACTGAGAATACAAAATTAACAATGATCCCACGGATTTTATTCGAATACTGCATAATTATGTATTTTATTTGAAAAAGTGGCATAAATCATTTCCAACTATTGTGCTTAAATGGTTGGCTACTTGTAACTGAAAACGTTAGCTGAGTTGACCCCAGGCCCATCTTTCTTCAAGTACAATTCGAAAAGAAAAAAATCAATATAGAAGAAAATAGTACTTACTTAAAAATTTAATGTTTTTATTTTTTAAAACAGAACCTAAAAATTAAGAGAAAATTAAGTAAAAAAATAAATAAAATAAGATCCTGAAAATTAGTTGAAATAGAAAAATATAATTTTCTTTTTAAAACAAGAAAATCATGTACACAAAAAAACAATGAAAATAAATAAAAAATTATTCTAATAATTAAATAAAATTAAAATATAAAATTTGTTCTTCTTTAAACAACAAAATTTAAAATTAGAAAGAAAAATCAACACAGCAGAAAATAGTGCTTACTTAAAAATTAGGTGTTTTTTATTTTTTAAAACAAAATCTAAAAATTAACTGAAAATTAAATTAAAAATATATATACAAATAAAATAAAATAAGATCCTGAAAATTTATTAAAATTGAAAAATATAATTTTCTTTTTGAAGCAATAATATCCCAAAATTTAAAAGAAAATGTAGTAAACACAAGCAAAACAAATTGAATCAAAAAAGGAAATGGGTGTTTAATTAAGTTTCTAAAAGTTAAATGAAATTGAAAAATTCTTTTTAAACAATAAAATCTAAAAATTAAAAGAATATTTAACCAAGTAAAAAAAAAGGATTTAAAAAAGAAAAAACTAAAATAAGTTCCTAAAAATGAAATGAAATAAAAAAAAGTTGTTAAAAAATACATAAAATGATTTTCTAAAATTCAAGTGCAATTAAAAAAATATATATTTTTCGTTGTAAAACAATAAAACCTAAAAATTAAAAGAAGATTGGTTTTAAGAAAAAAATTAAAAAAAAAGAAAAAAATCCGCTGCGCGGGGATTCGAACTCAGATCTTTCGAATGGCACGCCGGTGAATGAGGGAGCTTTTTTGCTAAGACTTTTGTGCTAGAATAACAAAAGTTTGCCTTTGATTTGCCTTACGAAAGAATTTTTAATATCTTATCCAGCTCACCAAAACTCATTAAACTTTTACTATTTCCATTCTGCCAGTAGAATAATTTTAATTTTTTTATTGTCGAATGTAGGTGACAAGAAAAATTTAAAAATCACGACCAAATACGGCCAATTTTTTTTTTTGGAAATTGCCTTGCACAAATGTCTTAGACTCTCTTCTTCTTCTTCTTTGGCGCTGTAACCGCCTAAGCGATTTTGGCCGAGTTCAGCAAAGCAAGCCAGTCATTTCTCCTCTCTGCCAACTGACGCCAATTGGAAACGCCAAGTGAAGCCAAGTCCTTCTCCACCTGATCTTTCCATCGCAGTGGGGGCCTCCCTCTTCCTCTGCTACCACCAGCGGGTTCCGAGTTGAATACTTTCAGAGCTGGAGCGTCGGTGTCCATTCGAACGACATTACCAAGCCAGCGGAGTCGCTGTATTTTAATCCGGTGCACTATGTCCATATCGATGTAAAGCTCATACAGCTCATCATTCCATCGTCTGCGGTACTCGCCGTCGCCAACGCGTAAAGGCCCGTAAATCTTCCGCAAAATCTTTCTCTCAAACACTCCAAGAGCCGCCTCATCGGATGTTGTTCTGCGCCATATACCAGCACGGGCATGATGAGTGACTTATAGAGCGTGGTTTTCGTACGTCGAGAGAGGACTTTACTTGTCAAGGGGCTCACTTAGGCCGCGATCGTTGGTGTTTTGTGATACCGTATCGTACGATAACTGGTAGGTTAAAGCGAGAATCACTGAGTGCCGAGAAAAAAGTTTCGCAGGTGACAGATGTTGGTCCCGCAGAGCTTCTCTGGATCAGTTAGAAAGTACGAGACCAGAGACCTAAGCCCAAATATAGTAAAAGCTGGGCGACAAAAGTGGTGCTCTATCAGTACAGCCTAAGTAGATCCCTAGCCCGCGCTCGATCCACCTACGGTCAGAAATACCTTGCAGTGTCATATGCCCTGGTCTTCCCCCAGCGTTTGCTGGGTTGAGACGACACCCTTCCTTCCAACCGAAGTCCACAACAAGTAGTCAGGGGAACTAAAAATCTTGGCGA